TCAATGTCTGGGTAAAAAACAAAAACAAGAACTTTTTCTTTTCGCTTTGAACACAATGGCTGCATCCAAAATTGCATACTTAAATACTTTATAGTACACTAAAATCAGTATGTGAGCTGAATAGCAAGTCCGAATTCATAGAATTGGAAAAACAGTGTGTGATAAGTACCCAAATAACTACGAGATTCTGAGTGCGCCTCCGATGGACTCTTTGCTATCCCATGATACATCCCGGGAGAATGAATGGGAGTAAAGGGGTTGTGTCAAATGATGATGACAAAATGGCATCTGTCTGAGCTTCATTCATACTGTATAGAATCTACTTTTATATCGGTCGAGTAGTACATTCAAATTCAAATGCAGTACCTACTGAGTAGTAGTTGATTTTGGACGCAGCCAATATATATTATTTTGGGAAACATTTGAAATATTTTGGAGCATAAAACATCTCAGTCTAAATCTTTGAAATGAATCTGCTGTCTTCATTACTTTCAAAAAACAGATTTCTCTAAAATTTAAAACAAAAAGCGACAAAAAAAGAAAAAAGAAAAAAAAAAAAAAAGAAATCTAACATGTACCTTGTGTAACGGTATAACAGAAAATGTTGGCGGTTTGAAAACCTTGACTTTTCCAGACCATGGTATACCTTCATAATGGTTACCGTCCCATGCCTAGTTTGAAATAACACTTTGCTGCATATATTGTTAATGAATATCAATATAAAACAACATCTGATAGGCTACAGCAGTTGTTCTCAACCATCCTCCACAGTTTTCATATTCTGCACTTTGCCATGAAGTGTTCTGTGCTGCCAGACCAAGTGGAATTTGTCGTCAGATGCCATTTTGGATTTTGTTTGTGTGGTGGCTCTAAACTTTCACCTAATTGTACCTCTCAAAAAAAACATGGTACAGATGCGAGAAATTATATTTTAATGATGGATGAAAGGCTGTGTGTGAATGGGATTGACACAACATGAGGATATTTCATATCAACATTTGGGATTCTGTGTGCAATGATAAACTACACTTATATACTGTATAGTCTCTAAGTTTGTGTTTCCTTCTCTGCTTTTAGATGAGATTGATAGTTCATCCATATCAGATGATGACAGGAAAGAGATTGTTAATATTCAGACTTGGATCAACAAACCAGATGTAAAGCACCACATTCCTTGCAATGAGGTTAAGGAGACTGGCCACATGTTTCCAAGGTGAGGCTGTCTATCCGAACCACATCGTGCTCAAATATAATTGACAATACCAGAAGATACTAGATAGCAGAATACTATTGGATTAAAAAATTGTTACCCAATCAAAAGCGAAGACCGTCCAGTTGATAGATGTTTAATGTGTCGCATATATTAGGGTGGGTAATTTCATTATTTTGTCTTCCACAGTCATCTGCTGATCACCGCAACACACATGTACTGTTTGAGAGAGATCGCTGCTCGGAAGGGTTTTGCTTACATCCAGTCCAGACAGGCACTAAACTCTGTTGTGAAGATCACCTCCAAGAAGAAACATCCAGAGCTAATCACATTTAAATTTGGCAACAACAATGCTGCAGGAGTGGAGATTGTGGCTGTGGAGAGGTATGGGGAATGTATTTCAAGCAGCATTTACAAATTTTTTTTTTGGACCAGTATTACAGTACTGTTAAAATATGGAAGTATAGTTTTATATATATATATATATTTTTTTTTTTTTTCACGGACCCTTGCAGGCCCCCATGGGATTTATGTTGGAAGGGAATTATTATTCCTCCTGTGAAAAAAAAAAATTACTTAAAAAAATTTTCTTAATGGATGTTTAACAGAGCAAAGAAATGTTCACAGCATTCCCTATGTTATTTGTTTTATTTGATTAATTCAGGCTAGAATAAAAATGTTTTTGTTAAATAAAAAAAAAGATTTAACATATTTTTTTAGCCCCCTTTAGATTTGTTTTTTGATTGCTACAGAACAAACCACTGTTGAAATCGTATTTGCCTAGTTATTCTAATTAATCTTAAGCCATTAAATTGCATTTTAAAATCACTAGTATCTAGAAAAAGAACTAGTCAAATCATCTACTCGTTTCATGGCAAGACAACAGAAACCTGCTATTAAAACTATTATATCTAAAAAATGTTTTTCCTCCAAACATCTAATAATTTAACAGCGAGGAAATATTTTAAAAATAATGAAACATTAGGGCAACGCAGTGGCGTAGTAGGTAGTGCTGTTGCCTCGCAGCAAGAAAGGTCGCTGGTTCGACCCTCGGCTGGTTCAGTTGGCATTTCTATGTGGAATTTGCATGTTCTCCCTGCACTTGCATGAATTTTCTCCAGGTGCTCTAGTTTTCCCCCACAAGTCCAAAGACGTGTGGTATAGGTGAATTGGGTAAGCTAAATTGTCCGTAGTGTTTGACTGTGAATGGATGTTTCCGAGTGATGGATTGAGGCTGGAAGGACATTCGCTGTGTAAAAACGTGCTGGATAAGTTGGAATTTCATTCCTCTGTGGCGACCCCAGATTAATAAAGGGACTAAGCCAAAAAGAAATTTAATGAATGAATGAATGAATGAAACATTTCAGAGAAGGGGAAATAATGTTGTCTTCAACTGTCCCATGATTACTTCTTCAGTTTAATTTTTAATAATTTAATTGGAAAAGTCCTTTTTTTAATATTACATGTTTTAAGTTTTAATGTAGGTTTTGTTTCTTAATTTGTTACTTTTTTAACTGTATGTAGAATGTCACATCATCTGAAATGTGTAGGGTTTGTATGTAGGACAATATTTGAAAATATAAAAAAAAATCACCTTTAAAGTTGTCTAACAATCTGTATATTACTACTAAAGTTTTTATCTATTTTTATTCATTCATTTTCTTGTCGGCTTAGTCCCTTTATTAATCCGGGGTCGCCACAGCAGAATGAACGGCCAACTTATCCAGCAAGTTTTTACGCAGCAGATACCCTTCTAGACGCAACCCATCTCTGGGAAACATCCACACGCACACACACACACACACTACGGACAATTTAGCCTACCCAATTCACCTGTATCGCATGTCTTTGGACTGTGGGGGAAACCGGAGCACCTGGAAGAAACCCTTGCAAAGGCATTGAGAACATGCCAACTCCACACAGAAATGCCAACTGAGCTGAGGTTAGAACCAGCGACCTTCTTGCTGTGAGGCGACAGCACTACCTACTGCGCCACTGCCTCGCCCTATTTTTATTTGGATGTTTAATTTTTTCAGGGAACTTTACTTTGATTTTTCTTTTTTCAAAATAACATCCTAGATCTAAATGAATGAAACGTTAATAAATACTTATTTCTTTACATAATTGCTGAAAACAAAATCACACAAACAATATCAATAGAAATCAAATTTATTAACCCATGGAGGTCTGCATTTGGAGTCACACTCAACATTAAAGCAGAAAAACACACTACAGGCTGATCCTACTTTGTCTTTTGATATAGTGCTTCCTAAGTGGGTTGTTTGATTTCACAGAAGTGTTATGTACTTGTAGTTACATTGTGTTGTTTAAGTGTTCCCTATATATTTCTTAACAGTGTACATTACTAAATGTACAAATAACACATGCTGCATAATTCTATTTATTAATCCTATTTATTAGATTATACTGTAGAAGGTCTGTGCTGCTCGTATTTTGATGTGTAAAAAAACCTCAGTTAAGTTTTTATTATTGTTTTTTACATTTCGTATTGTTTTTCCCCAGGTATTTAATTCCAAATGCCGGCGATGCCACTAAAGTCATCAAACAGCAAATCATGAAAGTGTTGGATGCTCTGGAGAGCTCTTAGAAACATGAGCGGCACTTCGGTCTGGTCCTCCAGGAGTCCACCGTGTCTCCAACAGAAACAGCCTGCAGGGGAAGGAGGAAGTAAAGCATTCCTACACTGTTTTTGGTCATCATCTCCTCCATGGGCAGCACTGATGTGGAGGTCTGTCAGGACTCTTTGAGCTCATCACCAACATGACTGATAGGAGCTCTCAAACTTTGGCTGTGAGCCTTCAATAGAAATGGTTTGGTTCATTTTTGCTTTGTGATTTCATTTTCTTGAAACTGACCTAAAGCAAGTTAGATTTGTTATGTCTCTTTTTCCGTCTCAAGCCTTAATGATGCTTTTTATATGAGTCTCAAACAGGCCCCCTGGGTGAGAAAAAAAATGGTTTTGGAACCTCAAGCAAGGAACCTGCATCAATTATTGAGGTCACTAATTGTTTTGCCATCATATATTGCTGCATACTCATGTAACATATTTATCAAAGCAGTGTTTGTTTTTACACAAAGCAAATTCATCGGGAGCCTTGTCAACAGGCATCGAGGTGAACATATGTAAATGCTTCATATATATATATTTCTTTTTGGAAAGGATGCAACCCTTCAGGATGTTGCTTTGCACAAGAGGCTGCACAAGCGTGATGCATAGACTTCCATTTAACTCTGCTGCTGACTCACTAAAATGCCCAGAAATGGTTATAAGCTCTTGTTGGAGCACCTGTCACTTTTAGGTTCCATCAAGTTGTTGCAGCATTAAAAGATTAAAGGGAACGCGTTGATCAGACAGTGACCGTAAAAAGGACCTTATCCAACTTGCGGGCAAGTACCAGAGAATGTATTGTGAAAGAGAAGCTGGAGAGTAAAATGAGGTGGAACGGCTTCTATTGAAAGTAAATTGAGTATTCCAAAAAAAAAGTGTCCATCAAAAATAAATGCACAGTATCAAATGATCTATACACAAGAGGTTGCAGGAGTGAAAAGGGAGCGTGTTTGGAACATTTTTGGTATTCGGTTGATCACGCTGTTCTCAAATTGCAAATGAAAATAGTATTTATTTAAAACACCCTGTACATTACTAAGAGGTTCAGAAGACCATGCCTAACGACACAATCTCCCATTTAAATGAATCAAATGAGGTCCACCGTGTCTGACTGTTTCAATAAAATCTGTTGATTGATATAAATGTACAAAAAACAAGGCTGACTGATATTTGTTTTATTTTTGTTTATATCAAAATAAGTACATTGCAACATATTTACAAGAATTCCTTATTAATAGTTTGAAAAACAATTAAGTTGGCAAATGAAAGTGAAATAAAAAACAAAAACTGTACAATATTGCCGCTTATGAGAATCAAGTGAATTAGAAATTTGTTTAAAAAAAAAAATACTGACGCCACATGTTCAAACACACCGGCTAATGTCAATCACTTGTATACTTTAAGGCCAGTAAACAGCAGTTCATGATATTCAATGCAATACTTACACACTGCAGGTCAATAGTAATCTCAGTGTTCACATAGTAGATACAAAGAAGGGTTTACAGTAGTACATAGAGGCTACATCTTACACCAAACATAAAAATGGATGAATAACACTTTCTGCAAAAAATAAAACATGTGCGAATTGAAATACATACAATCAAAACTGACAGTCAAGTGTTTTTTTTTTTTAAAATGACATTGTTCAACCGCAAGGAATGATCGTCAGAACAAAGCGTACAATTAACACTAAAGCTCCTGCTGAGAGACGAACGCTGTATACAAACAAACAAAGAACAGTAACATATAGAAATATACCTTTGGCCATGTTTAAAACAAAGGAAAAGCCCAGCTGTTGAGTGTGTATTCTGCGAGTGGAAACATGTCAGCATTTCTTAAGTGCTCTGTCTCGAGAAACAGGAAAAAAAATGACAGCACAATTTAGCAAAGCACCATTTCCCCTCAGCCAGAGCTGCTTGCGGTCCAAAAAAAAAAAAAAGTAGGAGGGTCTTGAAATGACATCCAGATAAATTCATCAGAAGCAAAATGAAACTATAAAAGGACTTTAAGTGCATTTGATCTGCCCGTTTAAGTGAACTAGACTATGAGGCTCACAGCTTTTTTTTTTCTTTTCTTTTTTGAAATCATCACTTGCAGAAGAAACCTGTGAAACGATCTGGACCAACACCAAGTGTGTTTCTATTAAACAGAGCGCGCATGTGTGTGTGTGTGTGTACAGTAAATGTGCACTGTTGTTGTATTGTGTACAGTCATGTACTCTGTTCATTCTCCTTCCTCCTTGATGCGCTGCTGCTTGTTGCGGCGTGAATCAGGGGCCAGATCGAAGGAGAAATCGGTCCAGTCATCCCGCGGAGGGAAGGAGATGGTCTGACGGAGGGTGAAGCGCACGGCGTCGATCACGCGCTCGCCTCGGGCTTCAGTGGAGCCCACGCTGACAGTGGATGTCCCGCTAGAGGTGCGCAAGATGTGGGGAGGGGGAGAAAACTCCATGGTCTGCCGGTACTCCATGATGCCTTTCCAGATGATGTGCTGGAATTCTGTGGGGATCTTCAGCCTGGACAAGTCCTGTGGATAAACAGACCACAGAGCTCATGAATACAGCAGCCGCTGCTCTCATCTCTCACACACACATCTGCCTGGGTTAAAGCAAACACACTTTATTATGTAAACCATTCAATGATGCAATGTTTTACATAATGACATGAAATAATTGAAAAAAATGTATGTGATTAACATAAATCCCTGATATTATTTTTGTTGTTGCTGTTTTTAATATATATATATATATATATATATATATATATATATATATATATATATATATATATATATATATATATATATATATATATTTAATTAACATCAGTAACAGAATATATAAACCTTAATTTGCACTAATATAGTGAGGCCTGAATACAAAGGATACATATTCATTGTACAGCTAGTTACACAAATAATACAAAGGATAAGAAAAAACAATATTTAAAGAAAACTAATTTTAAAAAATATAAAGAAATAAAACATAAATATCTCTAACCATAACTAAATTTTTAAGCGTTACATAGGCGTAGCAAATGAGAATATATTTTTCAGTAGTTCAGTTGTATCAGCAGCTTTCCAATTTACGATAACAATACAAAATGTTCTAAAATTAAGCAAAAATCCCTGACATTCTGTGACTTGGACAAAAAGCAAAATCCCTATCAATGTCTAAACAAGAACTTTTAAAATTGCCTGACATTCTATACTTTTCATCATCATTCAGCGATATACATTTAGAGATAAACTTATGTTGGTAAATTTAGGTATATACCAAATGTAAAAGGTCTTAGAAAATTGATTTATATTATGTAATAAAATTAATCATTATTACAAAGAATTTTCGGTCAAGTGAATCCAGAATTTTCAGTTTTGACCCAGATTTGTAATTTGAGCGCATCCTAATTAAGATTAATCAAGTTTAATGTTGTGAATGTAGCAATATTTTAAACAGACTGCTCACAATGTCACATTCAAATTCATGTGGCCAACCTGAACCACGTCTAATTTGCATGTGAAAATATTTTGCCCTGAGGTGAAATTGCCATTTGTTTCATTAAAGACAAGATTATTTAAAAACAAAGTTATCAAACTTAAGTTTAATATGCTTATAAGCAGTACTTAATTCCAGAGCTGGATCCTGTTCCGGAAATGTCATATATTCATGTTTTGCGTTTCACTATTTATTTTAATGGATCCAGCATTAACTGTTGTGTGTGTTGTGTGTGTATGTGTGTGTGTGTGTGTGAGAGAGAGAGAGAGAGAGAGAGAAGGCTGTGTGGATTGTGTGTGCGTCACCATGAGCAAGTTAAAGCAAAAGTCACGTTAAACTATTGGCCCTCATCAATATTTTTCAGCCAATCAGCTTATGGTTACAATCACTCTTATTGGTTGGTGATAGTTTTGCACACAGTGAGCAGCGAAAATAAATAATGGCAGAGTGGTCTACCTAAATAATATTTGTATTTTCAAAATGGCAGAGGCAGTCACGCATTTCATTTTTTTAAAACCACGAGTAAATCTGATTATGAGCTTGATCAAAAGAGATCTCGAGAAGTTGAAACCATAAATGGATCAGGATAGCGGGAGTCATTTAACTATTTTCTTTTTCACTTGGCACACAAGTGAAGTGAACTGAATAGTGATTGTTCATATGTTTGTAGCTGCATGTTTTTAATATCCATGACTGACCTATAATGTTATAAGGCACAAAATAACTAAAGACCATTCAGAAATGTGATGATCCTTTGCGCTATTACTGTTTAATGGCGTCATGTTCTGAAAAAACTGAAATTGTTTGGTGGATGTCGGTCACAGTAACTTTTATTTCCTACTTTTGTACCGGGAATTATTCATTTACAAATTAAGCTCTGTGAGTGAGCTTACTAGTGTGAGTGCATACTATAGTAATCAATTCTATGCAATTTTGGACCTGAGATCTGAACTGATGCAAAAGACAGTAAGAGTAAGGCAAATTCCTCACCTCTAAGTTATAATTCTCAATCTGGTAGATATTGGTCAGTCCTTGGGCTGTGAAATAGTCCAAACAGGCCGAGCAGCCCAGCCTCAACAGGAAACTGCAAATGAAAGAGATTCCAGATTAAACCAGGATTACAATAACGCCATTTAACATCAACTTAAATACCACTCCAGAGAGACTTACTGCGTACCTGGAAATGCTGTTGTCCATCGGGTAGGGTGGTGGAGGTGTGCAGTGGGATGAAGGCACCATTTGTAACTGTGACTGGAGGGGGTTGTTGGGGCTCAAGGAGCTCAGGTCTGTGTTCATAGGAACAGGGCCACCCATCATAGGAGGGGTCACTGAAGGAAGGGGAAAGGGTTGAGACTGTAATAAACCTCAGAAAAGGGGAAATAAAACGGTAACACTTTACAATGTGGTTCAATGCATTATGAACCAACAATGAGAAATACTTTTACAGCATAATAATCTTTGCTCATTCATTGCACTTTAAGACATTTCAAATGCTTTACAAAGAGCCAATAGGAATTAACGTTGAGTGTTAAATAAAGTGTTGCATCATTCAAAATTTGCTTTAATTTGTTTCCTTTTTGCTTAACATTTGGTTGAACTGTAATACTTCAAAATATTATTGCAAAGGAAAATAACTTCTATTAATATATGTGACCGTGGACCACAAAACCACTCGTTGAACATGAAAAAATAAAATTAAAAGCAATGTAGGGGTCAAGCATCAATAATCAGTGAAATATTAAGTAAAGATCATGTTCCATCAAGATATTTAATACAATTCCAATTGTAAACACATCAACTTCATTATTGCTAATTTGCATTTAAAGGTGATTTTCACAGTACTTGGGTTTTTGACACCTCTGATTCCAGATTTTTATCTCAGACAAATATCCTAACAAACCACACACCAGTAGAAAACACAATTATTTAAGGTGATGTAGAAATCTTTTGATTGGTTTTGTGGCGCAGGTTCACATATTTAAAATGTAAGCTCAATGTTTTTTGTGAGTAAAAGCTGTATTTTTTTATTCGGTTTGAATGTCAAATGATCCTTTATCATTCTAGATGCTGATTCATTCCAAATGCTTTAATTGCGAGCAGTGATGAACCTTATTGTAAAGTGTTATCAATAAAAAGCATGCAATATTTCCTTGTCCCCAACCCATCCCTCACTGATAACGGCTGAATCAACAAACACCCGAGGGCACTAAATACTGATAAGGAGATTTCAGAAGTCAAGAAAACCTGAGGCACATTTCACACAAGAGAAAGCATTTTTGTCATATCCTAGTACATTTTGACAGCACAAGTGTGCCGTGGGGAAGGTGAATTGTCCCACAAAGATCTGGTTCAAAACTGTCTGTCAGAGTGACATTGAGAAATGAGAATTCCTCAAGCCCAGACGAGACTAGGAGAAAGGGGTCTCCATCAAGAAAAATGAGCACCAGAAATGTCTTCATTTAGAAGATCTTTGGACATTGTGGTGGGTTGGTGGAGAGATTGTGCACATCTACTTATCGAATGATTATGGAGCGAGCTCTTACTGTCAGTGAGTCCTCCTGGCATGCCGGATGGGGTGAGAGCGTTGCGCTGTTGGGGGTTGATGAGTTGACTGACAGAGGGCAGTTTGTTCTTGCCGAGGGTGGGCGAGCTGGAGCCGAATGCAGGCTGGGGTGGCAGAGAGCTCCTGAGGGAAAGATAACCACACGCGTTCTCATACTGCCAACGGAAAATTGCCTTAAATTATAGACAATGTCCATTACTGAAACTGTCCGTTTCTGATGCCAAGGGACTTCATGTAGATTTGCTAGAAATGTGTGACTCTGAACTAAAAAACGACAGTCTTATGTTGCAGGTGTGCACATTGAATGGGTCAAAATGATGGATTTTTTTTGTTTTATGACAAAAGTCATTTGAATATTAAGTAAAGAGTGTGTTCCGTGAAGATTTTCTCTGTATTGTGTAAATATATCAATAAACATGTATGCATTATTAATGTATATAGCTAAGCCCTTCATTTAGACCTCTTTAAAGGGGATTTTCTTTTTTTTTGAACCCTCAGATTTCAGATTTTCTCATAGTTGCGTCTCGACCAAATGTTATCCTATACCTAATAAAACATACATCAATGGAAAGCTTATTTATTGAGCTCACAAATCAAAATAAAAAAGACACTTGTGATTGATTTTGTAGTCCACGTCACAATTGTGCTTCCCTGGTATTACATGCAAATGCTTTGAATATTATGTGGAAAGTCTAAACTGTGTTCTGCAATTCCCAGAATTGTTGGATATGGGAAAAGGATCACATGGAGAAAAAAATAACTTTAAAATCACATGATAAGTGAAGTTTGTTTATAAACTAATTTCAAGAGGATCACGTGATTATGATTGAACACGTCTGGTTCTGCATTAGCTATGTATGATCCACCAATCAGGCCATTCCTAACCCACTATAAAGAGCCAGGGTTTCTCACTACAGTCATCTTCGATTTGAAGAATCCCCCCTTTCACCCCTACTTTTCCACCTTTCCCTTCATAGGGCGGCACGGTGGCCCAATGGTTAGCACTGTTGCCTCATAGCAAAAACGTCACCGGTTCTAGTTCTTTAACAGGCCGGCTCGTTTCTGTGCGTAGTTTGCATGTTTTTCCTGTGCTTCCCCGGGTTCTCCGGTTTCTTCCCACATTCCAAAAACATGCACTACAAGTGAATTGATCATGCTAAATTTAGCACTACAGTCAAACTCTCAGCCAGCAGCATATCTCTTCATAGCAATCCTTTTAGTCATCAGCTCTTATCAAAGGGGGAGTTGTCGAGATCTACCTGAGCTCAAAGCTCCCCTCTCGCCCTGCAAATGGGAGGGAGCCCAGGGCTCAAGGACCTTTTGAGCTCAGAGCTCTCTCCCGAGACAGCATGCCAAACTTGCGTATAATCATTCATCAGCTAAGTGTGAACTCTTGAAATGAATAGTTAAATACAGAGCTAGATAATACTAAATATGAAAAAAAAATCACGACAAAGAGGAATTATACCGTTGAAGTCATTATTAGAATCACTAAATTATTTACACAAGCTATTGTTATGACTCGGTATGTGCTATGGTATTGGGATTCCGAATGCACATCATGTCATCGTGATTTCTTCAGTCAAACAAAAAGTTTTTTTTTTTTGTGTGTTTGTCTTCTTTTGTGCACACAATAGAAGTAAAAACTGTTGTGTTTACATTCTTTAAAATAGCATTGGTTCCTCATGAGCAAAGTCTGATTTGGAGCGATATGAGGCTGAGGTGAGCATTCTGAGCACACTGTTCCTTTAAATGATTCTTTGTTCACATACTGAATAATACAAATTCTAGGCGTTGCAGCACATCAACTTTTTTTAAAAAGCTCTGATTGAAAGGCCGTGACAATTGAAGGGAAAAGAAGAAAAGAAAAGAAAAGAGAAAAAAGAGGAAGAGTAGGGATAAGAACACAAAAGCAGAGAAGTCATTTATTGAATAGTAGTAACTGACAAAAGTGCATGAGCCATCGAGAATACATTAAACAACCTTTAACTTCATAGGAAATAAAAGAATCTGTCAACAACACTATAGCACTTTCTCTTTACATTGCAGAAATTACATCTTTAAGAAAATGCACAAATAAAACAGAAACAAACTGCCCAGCAGTGCACTTTATAAAACATGTCCAGCATTATTCAAATTCTGTCATCAATAAAGTCTATCCCCCACATCTATACACAACTCATGAGTCCAGCTCCAATAATAAAACAAAGACAGAGGCAACAGAAATGAAAAGAAAGAAGCTATTTAAGATGAACCATCAGCAAGATCTTAAAGAAAAACAAAATGAGTCCCATAAAAAAGGTGTGTGCTTGGTTCCTGGTCAGTTTTGACATTCAGGATTGTTTAGAGAGAAGAAAAGACGGGAAGAAGAGATAAATAAGGTGGTCAGCTGAGAAGTCGCTATGCTGTTTATGTGCAATGGAGTTCTGTGCAATACCAGCAGATCATCATAAACGCTGAGGTGAAAGTCACCTCGGTCACAAGGGCCCTTTAAAAAACACTGAAAAAAAAAATGTTTTACAAAAACTTCTAATTCCTGACATTTTTAAACAACAATATTAATAACATCTGAGTCTGAGTGTATAAGCAAATATAACACAAAAACAGATTATTTTCTAATGAGTGCCACAGTTGAGAAAATACACTTTTGGAGGGACAAAAATCATGCAACAAAAAAATCTAAAATGACTTCACGAGACAGCTCACATTTTCAAATGAGGGGTTCAGGTGGAAAAAAGAACATCCTGCGTTCAACCTGTTTGTGGCATGTAAAAGTCTAAGCATTACCACAGGTGACATTTGGAGAAGCAGAAGGAGCCCCTGGAGGGGCAGAAGATGAGATGAAGGAGAGATTGGAGAGAGAGGAGCGAGGGAAGCTCTGAAGGAGGAGGAGGAGGAGGAATGTGATTCCTGCATTCAGGAAGCACTGAAGCACCTCTTCTGCTCACCTATTGGCTCCAGAAGCTCTGAGCGCAAACGGGCCCTTAACAGACTGCAGAAAAGAGCCAAAGACAGACAATGAGAAAGAGAGAGATGTGAAAAAGCATGCAGACTTGAGGAGAGAGGAGAGAAACAAATGAAGGTTGACACCAGTGGCAAGATTGCATAATATTAACAAGATATCTGACTGTATATAATACAATGTTTCCATCCATCTATTTCTATGCACATTTGGAATATAGCATGACAACGCTTGCTTGAAATACGCCATGTGGTAGAGGAAGTGATGATTTTGCTCTTTTTGACTCATTGGATGGAAAAGTGCGGTATTTGCAAATGTTTTATACAATATTTCAGTTTATATAAGCTTAATTTACATTTTTAAATGGGAACATAGTGATAAGCAGGTAATCAAAACAGGGATGTTGCAAATGTATTCATCTATAAATATTTCAATCTTCATCCAAATCAAATTGTATGATGTAGTTCAAAGCTCAGCTAAGTAAATACATATGACAAAATATCTGATAGTAACTAAATATGATGCATTTTCCACTGTATTTTAGCATGTGCACAATCTCTCCACAAGGTGACAGTAAAGTGAAACTGAAAACATTGAACCAAAAAAACAGGAACAGTGAGAAAAAAAAAACAAGCAACCAGCAAAATAAAACAACCAACCCACTGGATCTGACACAAGAGACTTTATTAAAAAAAAGTGTGGAAAAAAGAAAATAAACATATTTAAGAGTGAAACAGCAGCAGCAGCATGCAAACAATGCATGAAAATGATCAAATCAAATTTATGCCTGCAAACTAAATAATCCACACACACACAAAAGAAATATTAACCTAGATGTCTTAAATACAAGCAGTAGACTGCATTAAGGAGGACTCATATCATAGTTTGAACAGTCAAATGCACATTTCACATCCTGTGTTGTTTCGTTCTTGCCTTACGAAGGGACAGTTTTAAAGATAACTTGCTGCTAATGGCTACTTGGTCATTCTTACCTAGTCATTAAGCTCAGACCAAAGCATGAAGTCAAATGATGCCTGAAATCACAAGGCTCTCTTGTCACCTTTTCTCACACTAAACAGAGTTGTCTAAGCAGTTTATGGTCTCTAGTAGAAATGAGCTTTTTCAAGTCATGGGTTCCCTTGGGAATATCTATGGGTTTTCAAAATAGCTGTTTTTGCATTCCTGTAACTAATGGTTCAGTTATATGGACAGAACACTGGAATGCTAAAGAGTTATGTGGTCTGTGGTTAAGATTATGGAAGGATGACATAACTATAATTACGGTAAATGTGTATTATAAAAAAACTTTTTTAAGATTTTATTTTAAGATAAAGAAATAATAATATATTTTTATGCCTACGAGAACAGTAATGTGCTCACAGATCAAATGTGTCTTGACACTTTTTTTTTCTTGCACTAATTTGTTTGTCCACAAGATATCAACATTGCATACAGTGTTGAGTCAGCATTATTAGAAACAAATGAGATGAAACAAGAACAATAACAAACTACTGAAGACAGCAAATTATCATGTGCACTTAGGAATGGTTAAAACACACCTAATGTATAATTCAACTTTAATCCTTTCATATGCATGATTAAAATGTTCCTGCTGACCCCCCTCTGTAAGTTTTGTTATGAGACTGTTGTCTAGTTTATCATGGGACACACGACAGCCCCAACGATTTATCTATAAATAGTCTCAATTTTTTTTGCAAATATTGACAAACGTCCTAATTATATTGTGAAATATCTTATATTTCAATTCTCAAATATGTGTGAGAACTAGGGGTGGGAATCTTTAGGGACTTCGTGTTCTGATCAGATTCTGGGCGTCATGATCTGATTCCGATTTGAAACTTATATTTTTCCTGTTTCTTCTGCTCTCCATAAGCTAAGGCTATTATGTGCAACAAAGATTCATTCTTTTTCTTTTTGGCTTAGTCCCTTTATTAATCTGGGTTCGCCACAGCTTAATGAACCGCCAACTCATCCAGCATATGTTTTACACAGCGCATGCCCTTCCAGCTGCAACCCATCACTGGGAAACACCCCAACACTCTCATTTACACACATCCACTATGGACAATTTTAGCTTAAACAATTCACCTATGTGGGGGAAACTGGAGCACCCGGAGGAAACCCAAACGAATACAGGGAGAACATGCAAACTTTACACAAAAATGCCAACTGACCCAGCCGAGGCTTAAACCAGCGACCTTCTTGCTGTGAGGCAACAGCACTACCTACTGCGTCACCGAGACGCTACAGCAAACATATTTCATAAAAATTGATATTCATTTTCAAAAAAAAAAAAAGCGAGAATCATAATTTTACTTGTTTATCACATTAAGAAAATGTTAAGGGAAAAATATATAGTAAAATTCTAAATTATTACTATGCACAAATGTTACAAATTATTACATATTTCAGTAAATTTTCAGTTATTTCCCAAGTAGCCTAGATTTTTTCTCACCGCATTTTAAACCAACACAATCTCACGGCAATTTGTAACTTTTTGATTTAGTGGCTAATTCGTATTAATTCGACCAATCTAATTCATACAATTTTAGTATGATTTGCTCCTCACCCAATGATGATTGGGGTTAGGGGTGGGGTTGGGTGTCACGCCTCCTATTTAAAATCGTACATTTTTATACGACTGAACTCGTACCAATTAGCCAGTAAACTGACAAAAATACTTAAGTTTCTTCGTTAGATTAGGCTGTTTTAAACACAATAGATTTAGACAGTAAAAATATTTTACTTGTTATTTTGCAAGATGCCAGTATTTGGCTTAAAAATAAAACAAGCTTTAGAACATAGTAATGTTTCATTAGTTTGCAACACTGTACAGTATGCCTAGTTCACTTACCTACACAGCACATTTGCAGAACATTAGCTGCAAGCCTTCACTCATAATGCTGTAATGTTGACATCCTATTCACCTCTTAAGTAAAAAGAAATCATTGATTTTTTTCTCCCATCCATGAACTTGTTTTGTTCTTGCCTAGCTTCAAATCAAATATACTTTGAGAGACAGTATACTGTATTCAACTCTGCAACCTGGCTTAAAGGTATGTTTTTTGCCAGTAGAGGGCACATATTCAGAACAAACAAAGGTGTAGTTCTATGACACTCTTGAGTATGGAATCATGGGAGTTGTCGTCTTTATTACATCCTGCTAATCCTGTTCATGGATGAACTAAAGTATTCAAAGCGTAGTATTATTTTAGTATAAAGCAGAGTAAGGCTGAAAGTCATGGGAGCGAAATGAGACCACTGAAGCAACTGCTGATAAGAGACGAGCACAACACGCCACAAAAGCAGCAGAGCGTTTATTATGCCACAGTCAACCGCTTTCAGTTCTTCCAGCGTGATCAAGTGAGAAAGAAACAGCACTGTTTTATCATAATTCATATATTTTAAGCTTCTGTTATAATGCTGCTCTTTTTAAAACATCCTTTTAATATTTTTTTCTGTTTTTTTTTTATAAAAACAAACCAGAAATTGGAAGTGTATGACATCATTAGCATGATAAATTGCTCAATTCTATGGATTAGAATATTCTTCAGATAATTTTTTGAAAATGTAATTAAAGTCAGCAGAATATATAGCACTGTTCTAATAGTTTTTAGATATTTTAATGGCTATGCATTAGGCTTTTAAAGCATATCATGCCTTTAAATCACAAACCTGTTACTCAATGAAACCCATTAGAAGATTCCTTGGGAATCCATGCTGAATCCAGTTGACCTATAAACTGACATCATGACTAAACAGCTCAGTTGGGTGTGAATGATTTAAATCATTTTAGGAAAATGTACAAGAAGAAAAGCACTCACATTAAAAGTTCTGCACCTTTAGCATATACATCACATTGCCAGACATTACTTGGTTCTTTTATGAGAGAAAACTATTTATTACTGAATTGTGACAGCTCAGAATTCGATTGAAATTTCCAGGTCTCTCCCTCCCCCTCTGTTGAGCACTAGTACAGCAGATCCTAAAGGCTAAAGTATGCCAGGAGTCTAAATTTGCATTTAACATGAAAACCAATTACAATTTGCCTGCAATGTTTGAACTTGTTTGACTCAGATGCAACTCTGATGTGTTCTGCACATCATCAAGTAAATCAATTAAGAATAAATCATAGCACCATCTCAGCAAGGTTCACCTTCAATAAGAAACTAACCAAAATGCAAAACGATGTTAATATTGTGTGCTGGGTTGATAACAGCTTGTCCTTCAACAACATCACTATTAGCGATGCACAACATAAATCACATGCAGGATGCAATCCAAACTCATACACAGCAGTTACAATAATACATGAATCCACAAAACCAGTCAAAAGTGCTTTTCTAATTGATTAGATTTATGAATAAAAAAGCTTTCCAATGATGTTTGGTTTCTTTCGGATAGGATAGGATTGGCTGCTATACAATTATGTGAACATCTGAAATCTGAGGGTTCAAAAAACTGAAATCCTTTAAAGTTGTCAAAATGAAGTTCTTAGCAATGCACAGAGCTAACCAAAATCGAGTTTTCATATATATTCACAGTAGGAGATTTATCTTCAAGGAACATGATCTTTACTTAATATTCTAATGGTTTTTGGCATGAAAGAAAAATGTATAATTTTGACGTATAATCGTGCAATATAAGCCTGGCTTATATTGATACCGTATCAACAGTGTGAGAAAATTAAACTGCCATTTTAAAGTGACAGTGACCCTCAGATGAGGCAGAAATTAATTTTTAAAAGAATAAAAACAATTATCTGACTGACAAAGTCAGGTCAGTTATGGCCAGTCAATTGAGCAATCGCAATCACAATCAAATCCACAAGAGTTAAAAGCAAGCAAGAAAGCTTGTGTCATGTTAAACACAAAAAACTGTTTGTGGGTGGACCTTGCTAGATTAGTGTAGCTTGCTTGTTGCTAGTCACATTATGAAAACATATTCCCCATATTATTTATTTGAAAATAATCTGTCAATTGAAAATCGCTGATAATTATTGGGGATTTGTTTTTCGGCAAATGTAAGGTACTCACTGTTTCTGCAGTAGGTTCTGCTGCTGCTGTCTGTATGACTCAATAGTCTGCTGAGGGAGGAACTGCATGAGTTCCAAAGACTCTTTGATTTTCACCAAAATCTCATAGATTTCACGGCCTTTAATCTGAAGCACAGAGAGAGAGAGGATGGGGTAAGTCTAGATGTCAGACTCTTACATTATGCTCTTCATTTTCAACGCCTACTCAAAACATGAAAGTCTGGAAGATAATCTTTGAATATTATGCTTTTTCTTTTCTTTATCAAATATTCGTTCCCACTTTCGAGAAAAATCCTACACATATGGGTCAGATAAAAAAGGTGCTTTTAAGCACAACCACATGTAATATAGTTTAGATTCTTTTGTTGAACATTATTTATCCTATTCATAATTATGTATTGTTTTCTGAGCAGAACCAATTTCTGTCAAGCACGGTTTAAATGTGTGTTTCAAACTAAAATATTGCCTGGCATATAAAACTAATTTCATCTGACAACTATTAAAAGATTATTTAAGGATCACAGTGCAGCCCCAAATACTAACTGATTTACATATTAGAGCTTACATTTCATTTGTTTTTAATGATTTAGAATACGTCATCCTTTTAAATTGTTACATTTCCTAAGCACAGGTCAAAAAACGTATGTTGTTTTATTTCTACATAAATATCTATATTAACAGACAATATAATATTATTTATTACATTACAAGTAATCAGAAAAATTCTAAATAGACACCTATCAGCTTAAATAAGCTTTATATATATATATATATATATATATATATATATATATATATATATATATATATATATATATATATTCACTTTTGTGATGCAGACACCAAAACAAGATGTCTACTTACAGAATAAACAAAAAAATTGTTTTATTAACTCTTAGATTAACTCTTTTAATAGTTTAATGTGGCCTTATGTGTTGTTATGCATCACATAGCATTAATAATACCCCCATTGCATTAGTTTTACCAACTTTTGCATGAATACATTTAAAAACAATTGATACAACAGATGCAAGAACATTTCCTTTCTGAATGGGCCTAAGTCTATACTTTCAAATAACTTAAAGCCTTAAATACTGCAGACAGATAAAGACACTCACAGGCAGACAAAACACTTCCTCGTCTGTAGATCTTCGTTTCTTGATGGAGTTTAGCTGGGATAGGTGAGAAGAGGCTTGACGGAAAGCTGTGGAAGATGGAGACAGAAGAAGTGAAACGGCTGTAGGAAAAGGTCTGCGAGCACAAGACAGAGCTAAAGCACAGCACAGGAGGAAGAACTGCAGTGTGGGTGTTTGTTAAGAGGACATGCAGTATGTGTAGGGGTGAGTGCACTAAGCATAAGAAACATGCAGCGCAAGTGTGTGTGTGTGTGTTTTAGATGAAGCCCAGTCACCAGCCCCCAGCATTACTTACGGCGTTTCGTACCCTCACTGCTCTTTGTGCCATCGGTGACGTGCTGTTTGCGGATGCTGTCCTCGTCAGCTTTGCGGTCACGTCCAGGGCACGCACAGATACGAGCCTCAAAACACCGTCGACCCAAAACCTGACCACTATAGAAATAGATTATGAAATTAAGTCATATTTCAATATTTCTTCTACACAATATTATATATATATATTTTATTTTTTATTTTTTTATACAGTTTTTTTAAACAGTCTTTACTCTCTGGTTTCCAATGTGACAATGATGAGAATTGGCCGCCTGTTCATTCCGCCAACACAGCTGGAGTTACACATGAAATTGTACAAGATGGTTGTGAACTCTGTGCCCACCTGTTAATAGAGAATAGACGTGTTAAACAAGTCCAACATCTTCGCTTTTTGTATCAGTATCCTTTAAAAATGTGTCTTGCACAGAAACATTGCATACTGAGTCGAATGTGTATTACTTAATATGTTGTGAAAAATACTAAAATAAAATACTAATATTTCACAAAAGAATTCAGAGCCAATAGGCTATATGCACACAGATTTTTAATTTTCATCCAGTCAGCTCAAGGGCTTTCGGTGAACTGTCTTTCCATTACAAAATTGTCAAGTTTAGGATTTCTTTAAAAATCAACGATCCTCACTGCCTGTTAGATATACGATATGAAGTGGCTCTCAGATCAGACAAAAAGTACTCAGTTAAGTTCCATTTTAAAACATGACAGTTTATTTCACCCCAGTATTTTCAATGGAATTTCTGCGCTAACCTGTTGCAACGGACGGCCCTGGCTACTAGCATCTGTCGCTAGAGCACCTTTAGAGGTCAGAGCTGCACAGCACTTACTAGCTGGCCTCTGTTACACTCACCCCCTAAACCTCACTCCCATCCGAGTTACCGCACCAATGTAACCCCGCCGGTCCTACGCCACCCAACCCGCTCTGAGCTGGTATCAAACCGGCGACCCTGTGCATGGGAGTTGGTTGTTCTACCAAGGAAGCTAAAGACAACTAAACAAAAGCTTGCCGATTTAACTGAATTTATTGTAATTACATTACAACATCAATGCTGTAAAAAAACCTTGTGAAATTAAAAAGTCACATTAAGCTTTCACGGGAAGTTTATCGTTGGCTTTAAAACTCTAGCTGTGCATAGAGCCCATTAAAGTAGGAATGCTTTTGTTCTCCTCTCCTTTTCAAAAGAACAAAAAAAGAAAAAGGAAATATTGTGGCCATCCAAGTGCAATACTGCAGCCATAAAAATTCTATAAATTAAATAATCCTGAATGAAGACTGGCAGTGGCAGTACATCAAGGGTATAGAGGGACATGTGCATGCACAAACTTGAAATCAGCTTAGTGAAATCAGCATACTAAACCATCTTCCCACATTCTGCCTTCATAGTGCTCTGTGTAGTACTTCAGTATGTTTAAAGTGCTCTGTGCTGCGATTTATACAATGTGAGGTTGTATTGATTTTTTAGCATGTAAAAATGTTGATTTTAGTGTGCAATGAACTTTAGTTCAACCTCAAAATGAAAAAAGGCTTCTGTAGATCTTCTGAACAAAAATAACATTTTATAATATCTGAGTGATTTATGTCTTTCTACTGAAAGTCTGTCCACTTAAAACTTTCATATAGTGATTTAAAAATCAAACAGAAGCTTAAATAAGATGGCAAATAGCAAGAATAAACTTCATTGTAAATCAAGCACTCTATAGCTATACTACAAGTAAAATGAAATGTTTACATGCATATAAAACTGAATGAAATTGACTTACATTAAAAATAAAATTTGGTTTGATCTGTATTAACTTTAATCTCTCAAATAAGATCACAAATACATTCATGTGTGTTCCGTATATGTACAAGAGTTTACTTAAAACGTCATGAGGGTGAGTAAAAGACTTTCATTTTGAACTGAACTAATGCTTTAACATCTGCTGGGAGTGCTTTCAGGTGTGCAGGGTTTGTAGGAACAGCCAGGTTCACTGCAGTTCTTCTGTAATTGTAGGTGTGTGTATGTGTGTGTTCACCTGAGGGGGCTCATAAGGCACCAGCACACTTTGACGCCCAGTAATGGAATCCTCCACGTATTGAGCGTGACTGTTCCCCTCAACCCTAATAAGGTGACTGGGTGGGGCTATTTGGCCTATTGAACACAAAATCAGTAAATTATATGGAACAATAAAATGTTTAGCCATATTTATACAGTTCAATTACAAAAGAGTGGCATACCGTCATTGAACTCTCTGCTCAGCTCGTGGTTCGGGCATCGTTTGACCACCTCAGTAACATGCTCTGCTTTCTTATAGACAGGCATGGCCCGTATGACTGCACCCTGGGGTGGGTTGGTTAGGACCTTGATTTGAATAGGACATGTTTTGGCAATCTGACAGTACAGCTTCTTCAACTCTGTGGAGTACTAAAGAAAACAGAGAGATGAGCATGGTTACACATAGCAAATAATATTAATATTCTTTCTTTTTTTCCCAATCCAATAAATAAACATTAAAAAACTGGAGAAGTTATATAAATATATATAAAAACACGTACATATATACATGCAAACAAACATACATACATACATACATACATACATTTTTAAATATTTCCCAAATGTTGTTTAACAAAGCAAGGGAATTTTCACAGTATGTCTGATAATATTTTTTTATTCTAGAGAAAGTCTTATTTGTTTTATTTCAACTAAAATAAAAGCAGTTTTAACTTTTTAAACACCCTTTTAAGGTTAAAATTATTAGCCCCTTTAAGCCTTCTTTCAATAGCTACAGAACAAACCATCGTTATACAGTAACTTGCCTAATTACTCTAACCCGCCTAGTTAACCTAATTAACTTAGTTAAGCCTTTAAATGTCACTTTAAGCTGTATAGAAGTGTCTTGAAAACCTCTAGTCAAATATTATAAATAAATATATTTTAATAAAATAAATCAGTTATTAGAAAAGAGTTGTTAAAACTATTATGTTTAGAAATGTGCTGAAATGTGCTTCAACTGTATGTAAAGCCTTTCTCGTAAACTCTCATAAAAGAGGCTTGTGAAGCAAGCTGCATTTTACTATGTTTAAAGAGAAGAGCAGCTGGCTTTAGGCGCTGGACTTCTGGTTCTGTCCTGCAGCTGTCATGGGTAAAGATATACCTGTGTTTAAGAACACTAAATAATGCTTTCCAAACTACATGATTTATCATCAGGACCCATCTAGAAGCTGAAATCATGTTTGCTGAAATTATATTCAGCTTAGTCCTGATAACCTTTAATTATAAAACAACAAATCACAAAATCAATAATAAAATTGTAAAATTCCAAAATTATGGTGCAATAAAGTATAGAGTTAATTGCATATATAGGTAATTCTTTAACTACGGGCAGTTTTATGTCCTTTGATCATTTATCCAAAAGTATATATCATTTTGTTCAAATTCCTCTTTCTTTGTCAAACTAATAATGAAGCTTACTTAAAAAAAATTACTAGCTTTATATTATATTTTTTTCATATTATTCAACCTTCTTTTAGGTGTCAAAATCACTTTTTTAAGAGTTTTAAACTTCAACAATGAAAATAACATTTTAAAATGCTATTTATCTGGAAACTATTAATGTGTCTTAATTAAGCACTAGTGAAACAAGTTAAATATTTGATAAATATTAGTGTGAGGCTATTATCAAAATCAATTTTTCAACAAAATGTTCAGTGCCATTTCCACCACAACACTGTAATGTCGCTTTAAAAAAATTTGTGTGATAGATTGTTGATGTGGTTTCTCAACAATCTACAACAACCTATTACAAGAATCTATCACAAAAGTGTGAGTTTAGAGTTTAATAATTTTCTAATAAATATCTAATGTTTCACTACATTACCACTGATACATTGTCATTTCCATAACACCCAGTTATTTCCACCACCACCCTGTCATTTCCATCAACGCACAATGTTTTTTAGAATATTTCAAAAGTTTTCATCGCACATTAAAAATGTATTCACAACTTATAAGTTCATGCTTTATTTAATATGCAAATTCAATTTATATATATTTTAATAAGCTCTTAACCAAATTAATATTAAATTTTAGAGTGTGACAGGTGTACAATTCAGCATTTGGTCCTAAGAGACTAATTTATTTAATTAACGAATGTATAATTATTGTATACATTGTGGAAAGATTTTTTAAACTAGATACACTATCAGAAATAAAGGTACGTGAGCTGTCGCTGGGGTTGTACCTTTTCAAATGTACAAATTTGTATCTTGAAGGTTCATATTAATACCTCAAGGATACATAATAGTACCTAAAAAGTAAAAAAAAAAAAAATAGTTCCTCTTAAAATTTTTAGGTACTAAAATATACTTTTGGGGTACCATTATGGACCCTTTAAGTTCAAATGCGTACCTGTTAAAAAGGTACCACCTCAGTGATAGCACGCGTACGTTTATTTCTTAGAGTGTACAAAAATCATTTTAGACAATTTTTGACTGCCATAATTGATTTCATTTTGAAATAAAAGCTGTATATTGAGATATGGTGGAAATGACATTTGTTAATTTTATGATGGAAACTATGTTAAATATTAACAGTTTCTCTTCTTATATATGTTTTTCCTCTAACAGATCTTAAAACTAAGCAAACTGTCTAAACTTATGAGGCTATGCTACGTTACTTTTGAATAAGTTTTTTTATTCAACTTCACAAAGTTAAAAGTGCGCATAGCTGAAGAAATGCCCATATATTGAATAAATGCAAATCAAATGTGGTAATATCAACTGTATTTGCCAACATCCTCTTCATCACTGATGACTTGATGTTCAGGGTGTCACTGACCACAAAAAACACACACACAGTTGCATCACAGTGTTCTTGAATCATCCACAAGACCACAGGCTAACACTCAGCTCTTACTCATACCTACAGCATCATCAGGTGTTGAAGATACTGTCTAACCACACACAATAGGTCAAAAAAGAGAGATTTCCATGATTAAACAGTCTCACAAAGCGTGACCGCCAACATTGTGACAACAGCAAATCACCACTCAGCCACTGTCAATGTTGCAATAGATAATGGCATGCCATTGATTTTGTATTGTATATAATAATGGCTGGTTACACATCACTTCTTTTTCAAGACAAATAGCACCGATGACACTTTTCTTTGCAGCTTTTAAATGAATTCTTGTGCTGAAAGCAGCGTATCAAGAAAATAACTGTAAAAAACATTCCTGTCAAGTTCATTTCAAAAGGTTAGGAGGAAAGAAATAAAGAAAAAAAAAAGGGCTGTGAACATCGCCAGGGGCTGTTCTGAAGAACAATGCCACATTAAATTCCATCTCTATTAACTTTTGATATGAAGTGTTCCAATGAGAGGAGCCCATCCCAACACCTGCTTGTGAGCTTTCAAAGTGTTGCACAATCTGGACAAGAACAAACACACAAATCCTGGCCATTTCCAGAAGGAATTGATAGAATAAAACTGGATGAGAGAGAGAGCGAGCGAGAGAGAAAGAGAGAGAGAGAGAGAGAGAGAGAGAGAGAGAGTAAATATACTTATTATAGTATTATTACTATTTATTATTAATGTTTAATCCATAAATGTTTGTTGTTAAATGTACAGTTTATTCTAATTTATTATTTTCATTCATTCATTCTTATTCTTTTTGGCTTAATCTCTTTATTAACCTGGGGTCGCCACAGCGGAATGAACCACCAACTCATCAAGCACACGTTTTACGCAGCGGATGCCCTTCCAGCCGCAACCCATCCCTGGGAAACATCCATATGCACTCATTCACACACACACGCACGCACGCACGCATGCACGCGCGCACGCACACACGGTTAATTTTAGCATACCCAATTCACCTGTACTGCATGTCTTTGGACTTGTGAGGGAAACCGGAGCACTCGTAGGAAACCCACGCAAACACGGGGAGAACATGTAAACTCCACACAGAAATGCCAACTGACCCAGCCGAGACTCGAACCAGCCACCTTCTTGCTGTGAGACGAACGTGCTACTCACTGCACCACCCCTTGATTTATTATTTTAGTCATTTATTGAGTTTTTTTTAAATATATGTATTTTCTTTTTAATGTAAAGAGAGAAAGAGAAAACGAAAGTAACGAAAAGTGAAGAAAAAAATCCTATGTTTGGAAATGAGGTGGAAAAGTTAACACTACTTAAAGTCTGATGAACTAAAAGCATATTAATGTACTTCCAACTAAAATAAATTACTGGGTAGGAGGCATCATTCTCTCATAGCAAACTAAAGGTAAGAGAGGTGTGGTTAAGAATATTAATATGGAGTTGCTATGGAAGCCCTCAGATTGACATCAACAGAAGTATCGCGTCTTCAAAGGTTTAAGGAAATGGTCAAAAGAAAAAAAAAGTGAGTTAAAGTAAACAGTACATTCTGATCTGATTTCATGAATTTTCTATCATGAACTACTTAAATGTATTTGTTTTTCAAGAATAAAAAAGTTAAATTCGATACATTAATGTTTTAAATAAATATTAATGAATTAAAAAATATTTAATTTACTTAACAGTAAATCAATGCATAAAGGAATATTGTTTTTTCCCCCTAATTACATTAATTCATTAATTTTCTTTTCAGCTTAGTCCCTTTATTAATCTGGGGTCACCACAGCAGAATGAACTGCCAATTTATCCAGCATACTGTATGTTTTATGCAGCGGATGCCCTTCCAGCTGCAACCCATCACTGGGTTATATATGTATAACATGGTTGAAATAAACTTTGTTAACTATAACTACATACTTTACAAAATTATTAAAATAATTTTCTGATATTAAAATAAATTCTGTACAATCAATTGTATGACTTCTAAAATAAAAATAGTCCATTAAGTCTATATTTTTGTCAGCCGATCTGTCACCTCTCATGCATTAGCTGATGATGTCTCCATCAGAAAGCATCTCCACTCTCTGAACTGCCTGCACCCATTTTAGCTTGGACTAATTTAGCACCAGGGTGCTTTCACCGATGGATGATGGAGGTGTTTTATGCGTGAATGAAGCACATGTTTTGAAAGGTGTTCTATATAAAAGAAAGATAAATAACTGTAATTACCCCTCTGCTCTCAACTCGATATGCCTCTGTACGCTCCTGTCATTCAACTAAATGAGGTGAGAGATAGAGATTTTCCCCTTACCAAAGCTCTCTGTATAATATATGTAATATGCCAGTATATGTGTGTTTTGTCTGTCTGTCTGTCTGTCTGTCTGTCTGTCTGTCTGTCTGTCTATCTAATTTGTATTGCTTTGTAACATTGGGGTATTTTACATAGTCATTCCAATAAAGCTCTATTGAATTTAATTTAATTGATTGAATTGATGAATTAAATTAAATAGAACTGAATTGAGAGAAAGACAGGGGTTCAAAGAATG